GTAGCTCACTCACTATTAGAACCGAAAGGCACTGCTGCCAGACGGCTATCGCTTGTCCTGAAGATATTCAACACAGGTAACGCTTCAATTTCGTCGGTCAAAACGTTGTTGCAGAAATTACTGCTCGCTGTTCTTATCAGCAAGAGCTGTTCTTACTTCTCCCAAGTTACGGGTAACGTCCCAATAAGTTCACCCCCAGTCAGTAAGGGAGAGAGTAACTCCAATTTCTTCAGCCAGTTTCAAGAGAACGTCCCAAGTCTAGCACCCAAAGTCAGCGAGTCCAAGAGTAGTGTGGAAAGAGTCTCGCCTCTTAACAAAACGCGGCGGGGAGATATTGCCGCTCCCCGCCGAACACCTCTCGAGTCACTTACATTTGTCCAGCAAGCCAAAATCAGCGAGTCAGTCGCGAGTCAGCAAAGTAGTGTTCCGACTCAAATTTCCTTCTTGTCCTTCCCAAACGGGCTCCCTATGGCGTCATTATCGCCCCTTAAATCGCAATCTTCGTTTTCAACTCCAAATGCGGAAATAAGGTGATCGCGCATGCGCGCCCTTTCACTTAGCCACAACCGGACCGGCAATAGCAACCTGAATGCTGACATGAAAGACCAGTAGCACCGTGACCTTTCTCACGTACTTTCTCATTAAGGTCAACTAACATGAAAATTTTCTCGAACATTTAAGCGCCGAAATCATGACTTGGCGAAAATTGCCTCCCTTTCCCCGCCTCTTTCACAATGAATAAAAGTTTGTACATGATTTGCAAATAAAAGAAAATAAATAATATTCATTTATACCAAATAATATTTCCCGAAGCATCCGCTTCTCCCCAAAATTAAAGCCCCAAACTAAATAATTCAGAATCAAAATAAAATTTAAATTTCCATAAATCATAAAATCATTCACCTAGTTTTTACAATGCTATCAGATAATTTCTCTACATAACAATAGCCATGTTCCAAATATGCATGTCATTCTTGTACTTTTCGATGGTCTTTTTTTACCTATATGCTGATCCTAACCATTTTCTTTGTTAATTGGCTCTTCTCATTAACTTTCCTAGAACTCTCATTAACCTTCCTCTTTTCATTATTAATTAATTTATGGGAAAATATATGAAAGAAAAAATATGAAATCCCTTAAAAATTCTTATAAAGGGCAGGCTGTTTACTGAATAGTAACAAAGAGTGTACTGATGTTGTTGGGCAGTTGTAGCAATGTTTTGAAAGAGGTAAAAAAATATAGTGCAACAAGTCATAACTCATCGAATTCGAGTTATATTCCAAACAAATGTCATGTACCAAAACAAAAGTGTTTTTGCTTCCGAATAGGATATATACCAAGTTGGTTATATACCAAAATACATCTGTATTCAAATAGTATTTTTTTTATTTATAAATTAGTGACAATAAGCAGTAAATTCACACATTTTTTAACTTGATCTCATGTAAATTTTTCAAAGTACCCTCAAAGCCACAGCTATTATCTCCTTATGATCATGTAAGATCCTAAAATAACCTTTTCCAACGATTTTTTTTTCCAAACTGTAGTATAACCGGAGATAAATATTTACAGTTCTACATAAGGCAAAGATTTTGCCTCACTCTTATAGATTAGTGGTATTCAAGCTGGTCCCTACTGCCCTGTAGTGGGTGTTCCAGCTTTCATGGTGGGTGGTAGCTGAGCAACCAATTGTCGCTGCGATTATATACTAATTGACTAACTGTTAACCAGTCAAGACCAGGACTGGTGTCTCTCTTACAGAGACCACACCAGACCTCCTTTGCGACCACCTGGTCTGCATCCACCTGATCCTGCCTGACCAATGCCAGGAAACAGGAAGGACATCTTGCATACCGGATTGCAAAAGCTTAGAGCATTCCAAAAGTTGCGACCATGCGAATAACTTTGTGTGCATAAGTTTTGTTCACATGACGTAAGTGAAGCTAAATCGTTCCATAATCAAATCTAAAGCTGGCATGTAGTTAGGTTTCTGAGAGCAAGCATGTGCTTACAACAAAATATTGTGAAACATCGTGAGCCCGTGTCTCAAAAAAAGAAATACCCTCACGACTATTTGCCAGAGTATCTGAAGGTGGGTTTCATAGAATCTGTTGCAGATAAACAACATCCAGTGACTTTATTGTGCCATAAAACAATACTAAATAAGGCAGTGAAGCCAAGTCAATTACGAGAACATCTTTCTGCAAAGCATCCAAATGATGAAGTCAAGCCGGCTGAATATATTCAGGAAATATATAAAAAAATTAAAAATTATTCAACTATTATTGCATCTATTAATTTAGAAATCAAACAACAAAAATCAGCGTTATATTTTTAAATTTTCACAGGACTAGTTTCGATGGTTTTCGGAACCATCATCATCAGTTGCAAAAGCGCAAATGACGAATTAGATCTTATCTCGTTATTGCGTTTGAACTGAGATTATGGTTCAGTAAAACCATCGAAACTAGTTCTGAAAATTTGAAAATATAACGCTGATTTTTGTTGTTTGAATTCTAAATTAATATTTGTTTGGCGTGTTATTGTATCTTAATTATTATTGCATCTTTTAAGAAACAACATATAATGAACAAAGAAGGATTAATTGCCACTTATCACATTTCACAATTAATTGCAAAAAGTGGTAAAAGCTATACTATTGGAGAAAGTGTAATAACATTCTCTATAAAAGAATTTATCTCAACAGTAATGCATCAGGATATACCTCAAATTTTAAAAATATTGCCCTAAGCGCTAGCATAGGAAAGTGACAAATTGATGAAATGTCAGTTAATGTTGAAAACAAACTTATAAATATTCTCCAAAACTGTTCATTTTTCATGCAACTGGTAATAATGCTTACCATTGCAGGTAATAATGCTTTATTGATGGCATATCTATGCTGTTTTGTTGAAAACTATATTTTATGAGAAGAAATGCTATTTACAATAAATCTCGTCACAGATACAAAAGGATTTTCTATGTTTAATACTGTGAGAACATAATGCAGAAAAAATTATATTCCTTTAAATAATATTGTTGCATATGCTACTGATGGAACACCATCAATGGTAGCTCACTATCGTCAATTTGTTTCTTATTTGAAGCAGGGAGTGCTAAATGTTTTAAGTATTCATTATGTGGTGCATAGACAACATCTTGTAGGAAGACATCTAAGTACAAGTCTTCATTCATTAGCCTTTGCTTGGACAATAATTGAAAATTTTATTAAGTTACTATACCACACAAAAGTTTGGTGGCTTTCAAAGAGTACATTTTTGTCTAAGTTTGTAACATTTTATGATAATGTTATACAATTTTTTGAATTAATAATGAGACTGTGTCAACAGTTAAATGCATTTTACTATGCATATATTTTCAAGAGATTTAGCAATGTCAATTTACAGCTTCAAGTAGCTAATGAAACTCTTATAGGTAGCAAAAGTTTTGTGCTATTATTTGAACTATGTCCTCATAATCTATTGAAGAAAGAATTTCATCAGTTTCCTCAATTATCATCTATAAAAGATGATGTAACTTCATAGGATATTGGCAGATTCATTAACCACCTCAACAAACTTAAATTGGACATAGAGAAATTATTTGAAGATATTTCGAAACTGAAGGTATGTGACTGAATAAAAATCCTTTTTGTTCTGCAAATACTGAAGAGGCTGATACAACTTGCCAAGAAGAAATGTTAGAAATTAGATATGATGAAAAAAAGTAAGCATAAATTCCAAAATGGTAGATATGAAAACCTATGGCAAAATAAAAAAATAAAAAATGTTGGTCTTGTATCTAAATATGTGGAAAATGGTATCCAGTTTATTGATACCTTTCCCTATGTCATATCTTGTGGAACCAGAATTTAGTGCTGTTAATCATATTCTGGCCAAAGAAAGAAACTGCCTTAATATTTGTGAAAGGGGAGACCTTTGTTCCCCCATAAAAATTTAACTGGATATTCAATATTTAGTTTCTTAGCATCAGCCTCGGGTACCTCGCTAATAATTCAATGAACTAATGTAATTTCTGTGCATGCAAAGTATAAATAAAAAGATATATTTAACTATAGTAAATTGTTTTATAAAGATTTATTCTGTGAAACTTTGCAAAATCAGACATAATGTACTTTGTTAGTAATTATTATTACATGTTTTAATCTGCTGTAACTCAGCTTTATAAATTTTATCAAGTAAAGTGACTTCTATGCTTTGTAAATCACCGTTACTGTGGAACCGGTGGGTGGTTAGAAAATTTTACTTCTAACAGAGGTACAGAAGTGGGTAGGTATAAAAAGGTTGACTACCTCTGTTATAGATGTTCTGTGGAGGTGGTTGTCTTAGACAGATAATTGTGTGCTTGTACCAGTCATATATATATATGTATATATGTGTGTGTGTGTAATAAAATCAAACTCTGAAGTAATGACCAGCAGGAATTTTGATGGCGTAGAAGTGTTTATCCATAATGAATAGGAAATTTGAGGCAATTTAATCTTCATTTTTTACTTCAGCAAACATGTTGTGGCCTTAAACAAGTTGGTACATTAATTGTGCCTATTCCAAAAAGTTTACGTTTTAGATAAATTTGCAGTAAGAAAGAGCCGAAAGTGTAGTAAGCAAGTATATTATGTTCAGGGTGAAATCTTAATTTAGACTAAATTAGTTTTGATTCTCAATGCATTTTGATTGGATAGTTAATATTGCTATAAAATTACTATTGGTTGTTTTAGTTCCATTTACATTATCAGAATTATGTAAGAGTCATGTGACATGGATTAATCTTGAAATGACGCTGTGCAGAGAGATTTCTGTTTTTAGAATACAGAAGGAAAATTAATTTATACTGGTAATTTGATCTTTTACATATTCTTTATTTTTCTTGCACACACACATATATATATAATTAGAAGACTCAGCTTTTAGACAGTTATTTAAACCTAATAGTTTATGGATTTTCTTTATACGAGCAATTAAGTTATTTTATTTTTATAGGTTAATGACACACTTAAAAGTACATGCATTGAGATGGAGGAACAGCTCAAAGACTTTGAAATTATTGTGGAGGCAAGAAGAGAAACTATTGCTGAACTAACAAAAAACAAGTAATTTGAATAACTAAAATTTATGATGTAGGAATGTAAAGTTGATAAAAAATAATAATTTAGATTAAAATAAATTGATAATGTAGTAATGTAAATAAAAAGATACAGTAAACAATTTTTTTTTTTTTTTTTGCCTGACAAATGAAATCTTTTCTGCAATGCCATTCGTAATATGAATTGATGTTTCACAAATGCCTTTCCCTTGGGTTATTATGGGAATAATAAAGCTGCCAACTGTCCTGATTTTCCCACACATCTCACAGTGTTTAATTTTTAGCCTTTGCTAAGGAATTTTTTTTTTTTTTTTTTTAGCAATTGCAAATTTCATTCCCTCACACCCTATCGATTTTCAGCACAATTTTTCTTGTAAAATTATAATTTTTCAGAATTGTTTCAAATCTACTGTATACATTTGTTTAAAATTCCCCTACTTTTTGCACTAGCCATGGAAATTCTAGAATGAGAAGTCATTGAGTTAAATGATTTTAACACATTAAATCTCATTTATATCCAAATACACACTATATACATGTATACTAGTCTAACAGGCCAGTTGTTTGGATAGTTAGTTGACAGTTGATAGCAGGTGAGGGCATCAGTGCTTTACCATGGGGTCATTCATATGCAACTTAATGTAGGGTAGGTCTCCTCTCCCCAAGATTAATCTGATAATTAATGCTTGAGCAGGTCCGAGAATGAATTCATAGTACATGCGAGGCTGTTGAACTTTTTATGATAAGTGTTTGCCTGGAATGAGGCTTATAACAGATCTTGTAGAGTGAAAGCTAATTATTTAATGCATGTTCTAAGTGTGTAAAAGACTCCCCCGCCACCCTCCACATCCCTCCGCCAAAAAAGAATTGGTGAGAAATTTGATGAAATGGAGGTTTCCTTTTGATGGAAAACTTGATCAGGGTTGACAGAAATGTTATCTATGTTTTTTACCAGTTTCATTATTTTGATGATGATTGGTCTTTGTTCTTTCCTTTTCATAAGGAAGGCTAAATATTTTAGAGTTATTTGTGATGGATGACAAATGTAAAAATATTTTATTGATGGGCATTTGAATAGATAATACAAGCAGTTTTTTAATTCACTGCAGCTATAGGTATCTATAAATGAAATGCTTCTAGAGTGAAAGTAGATAGGAAATGGACCATAGCCTGATAGAATCCATTTTAACTGTCTCAGCGGTGCAGGTTTTTGGATCTCTGAAGGAGATCTGTATTTAAACAGCATTTATTAGCTAAATTTGTACAATTATTTTTTTTACCTCTATTTTCATAAATTTACATTCATTAAGATGACTTACATTTTTAAAGGAAGTAAGGAAGAATATATCTCAAAATGATAAGCTAATATTTAACAAGAATCAAAAAATCTCTGTCAGGCCACTCAAAAGGTTGATTGTTGAGTAGCTGTACATCTATTGGTATCAGTCCTTCCTTTTTGTATGATATCCCATTCCTATTGCTATTCTGTCTGCATATTGTGACTTACATTCAGATTCCATTGTATTTATTGTAAAGGAAACAAATTCTATGTAACGTAATATGAGTGTGCTGCAATCCTTCTGACCAATAATAATCGTCCTCATGGTTAATGCAGCACACCCAACACAGACAAAAAAAAATGCAGTTAAAACATTAAATCAGAAATACAGTTAAAAACATCAAACCAAAATTCCTAGTATTGTTCTGTTGCCATTTGTAAAGTTCATCAAATCTCTTGCAAATCTAAACTCTTTAATGTGGCAGTAGAATTTCTTTATGTTATCATGTTTTTCCCCTAACATGTCGCAATAATACATAGTCTTCAACGAAATGTCGTGCATTGCCTTCAGCACTACAAAAACCGCAAAGACTATTATTTTGTAAATTAAATATTTTCAGGTATGCCAGGAAGTGCCTGTGTCCAGTAATTTTTTTTCATTGTAATCAAAATCAAATATCATTCTCATATTTTTAGGTACTTAAAATTTCAACAAATAATCTTTCCTTTTTCCCCAAAATGTTTCATTTCTCTTTCCACCAATCATTAAAGATATACTTGATTTTACAAATAACAGTTCTTTTTTATGCTTGAATATCGAACAAAGTAATGATTTCAGTTGGCCCTGGTGCTACATAAAACTTTGATGGGAAAAAATACACATTTGGGCACTTTGTCTGCATGTTTAGTTTGCATTCACTTGGAGTTTATGCAACCAAGTGAATGAAACTAATTATGGTCCTGAAAGCTAGTATAAATATAATATGTTCTACAATGATATTACATGACATTAGGAAACATTTGATATATTAACCCCCCGAAAAATAATAGTAGTAATCAAAAACAAAAACTTTTGTTGTATGGTGGCACTCATTGTGTTAACAGAAAGTTATGTGCAGACCAATGCTGCTTGGAGAGTATCATTATTGACTTGAGCATGGCAAATTATTTATTTGTGTTAGACTAAACATTTTCATAATTTTTGCATTTACTGGAAAATCCAGCATTAGTTATCATATTCATTTTGCATAATTCCTTTTATGATGTATGTCTATTTCATGTTACGTTGATTAAATTTCAGGGGTAATTTAGAAAAGGAAATCAGAAATTTAAAAGAATCTCTGAAACAAGCCAAGTCTTCTTTCAGTGAGGAAGAAAAATCTAGGTATGTTTAAATTCCTTATTATTCATCTGTAAAATACCTATGGTAAAATATTTTCAATCTCCCAAATATTCTTTTCATTTTAGGGGGTTTGAAATTAATTCATTTTGATACAATTAGTCATATGTAATAAATATTGCGACACCTGCGTAGCTGTCTGTTTATTTCTGAAAATACAGCAGCACGAACAGTGTGAAAAAATTAGTTGCTTTGTAAAGTTAATTTATTGATATTAGAATCCGGAGAATTCCTATTTCACGTTATCTGAAAGATATTTATTGATTTCAGTATATGTAGTCATTAACGCAAACTATACTGTAATAAAGCTAACTTTAAACTATAGGAAAAGACACAAGTGGTGTTAAGTCATATTTCTAAGAAAGTTAATTTTGTAAGGACAGAAAAATACATCTAAAAGGTGTGGAGAAAATACACCAGGTACAACCAAATTGTTCATTTAAAACTTTTTTTTTTTTTTTTAATTTAGCTTTGTTCTCAGCTTGGTATCATTTTCATGGATTCATAATCTTGTATTCTGATATATAACAACTATTTTTGTCCTAATAATATAGACTTCATATTGTGCTATGCCATTGTCATGTTGCTTCAGCTGCTAAGCTTCCCCATACATCTGGGATTTCATTAGATGGTAATTTTTAATTCTACTGCTTTGACTGTAGGTAAACATTAAATCATTTAGATTCTTCTACACAACATAACGTGATATCATCTACAGCATGAGTTCCTGATGGGCTCGATATTAACAGGGTCAACGGTGATCAAGAAGTGAACCAATAATCAGCAGCCAAATGTGCATGGGCAATTTATCTGCGTAATCAAAATCCCATTGGTTACAAAAAATTAATTAAATAAAATAAAAAATAGTAATAAAATTGATATTTGTCTATTAATTAAGCTGTATCAGTGTAAATGAAATTCTGAAATATAAGGGAAAAATACATTAAAATTATTTTAGAATCAATATTTTTTAAAATACAACATTTTTTATGCAATAACAGCAATATAAAAAGTAAAACACAAAATATGCTTAAAAAATGAAGAAAGCAAAACTAGAATGGCAGTTTTATGCCGAATATTAAAAAAATTGCAGCATTACGTCAAGTTTAGCTATTACATCAATCAAAACCACTTTTATGCAGTAGAAACTGTAATTTTGTTTCTGAAGAGTCATTTATGTTTATAAAAATAAAAATATATATATACGTATATATATTAATACAAAAATAATTTAACATGAATTTAATTTACCAATTTTCCTAAACTTTTGTTCATATGCTTAATCTAATTGCAATTTTTAAGCTATTTACATGCAGTTATTTGCATTATGATTATTTTTTAAGCTTTATTCTTAGAGAAAATATAAGGGGAAAATCATTGCTTTAAGAGTGGTTGATGCATGAAAAGGTTGGGGGGGAGAATCTGCCAGAACCAAGTCAGGAGATTATGACATAGTTGTCCTACTCACAGCATTTCTCAGGCATGTTAAAATCCTGTGGTAGACTTTTTTGTTTACTGCCTTACCATGTAGTACAAATTCATAATGCACTTTGAACATGTTGATCATTTGTTGACGTGGAAGATTGTGTTCAATCCATCCTTGGATCTTTGGCAACCAATCTTCAGCCCTCCTTAAAATGGTGAAACCAATCATAGGACTGTGTTCGGCTCATGCAGTCATCTTTGTGTATGGTTAAGCATTTGAAATGCTTCTATAAAAATTTCCTCCGTCTTACGCAGATTTTTGCACTCGCGGTGCTTTCCTACAACTCTTTTTTTTTTTTTTTTTTTCCCTCCCTAACCCACCAAATCAGCTTATGCACAATCTCATTCATTTGGTTATTTCTTGACAACAAATGCACAAATGAGAATCGAATAAAAGGCGATATGTTACCAAGATACTGCTAAGTGAGAATATTAGCTGCAGTAGGCTATCTGTAGCCATTGGCGCACAGTTTAAAAAATTAAATCTTTTTTTGAACAGTACTTGTATGGTAAAGAATACAACTATCAATAATTCAAGGAGCAGAGGTGAAGTATATTTTTATCATGCAGAGAATACTGCAAAGCACTAAAAATTAGTCACAAAGCAAAGGCTGATCAGGATTGTAATACAGTTACATAAACCTGAGTTGATTGAATCTCAATTTCAATGCATCCATATTTATAGTGCTGCCTGAGCATTTTTAGAAGAAAAGTCACTTCTCTGAGGCTTTGAAAATGCATTTTTCAGAAATGTTTAGAATACCACTAAATTATGGTAAATCATGAAATGTTGTCCAGACCCACTCGGAAACTTCTGCATGTATTTGCAGTTCTAACAGAGATACTTAAAATTACATGTTGATTGATTCAGCATTATGTAATCTACAGCATGATGCACAAGGACTTATAGTAGGTGGCTACATATCCAGTTAAAATAAAATAAATAACTGTATTACATAAAATAAATAGAAACAATACATTACACCATAAAAGTACATAAAAATCAAAATGCAATCAAACACAAATATTTACATAAATTTGCAACAGTTTCTGTTAAATGTTCGATATTAATTTTTTTTAGTGAAAGATTATGAAACGCTTCTTTTATTGTTGCTTTTATTTGTTAATTGCGGAAATAAACAACATATATAATTTGTAACCTTGAACTAATATGGAAAACTAAAGCTGATATATAATTTCTAACTGAAATTTCATATAAATATTTTGTTTACTGCAGTTTTACAGAAAATTCTTTATTTTTTAGAGATGAACTTCTAACACATATTAAAGAACTGACATCTGAAATGGAAAGCCAAAATGCTTTACATGAAGCTGAACTTCAGACTTTGCAAGATCATCTTCAGCACTACAAGAAGGTTGCTTCTGAGCTAGCAGAAGAATCAGCTCAGATTCAAAAAGAAATGTCTTTGCAAAATCAGGATGCTAAAAAGTATACAGAAAAAATATTGGCTTTAGAAACCCAGTTATATGAAATTAAAGAAGAAGTAAGCAAGAAGAAGTTATTTGTCTTGGTCATTTTGTATTTCATTCCTGTTGTCTAAAAGTTCCACATCTCTTCTGTTTTATTTGTTTGTTCTCTCTTCTTATTCCTATACATTTTTGAATGATAATGTAAGGTAGGGGTCTTCAACCTTTCACGCCTGAGGGCCACATCAATAACTTCACAAAGATTCGCGGGCCACATGTCTGTCAGAAAATTTATAAAAAAAGGGAGGTTTGTTTTGCAAGACGACAATTGATTCTAGGCGAAGAGTGTTATAGATTTGTGTGTGTATATATATATATATACATTGGTTCCAATAAGTCAAATGGAAATCAAATTAAAATATTTTGCAACTTTTTTAACTATGAAAAAAAAAGCATAAATATGATTGTACAGAGCAATGCTACAAAATGTATTTACAATAAACAAAATGGAAAAAAACTTAGATTACTTGTGGGAAATGGTAGTTAATTTAGTATTAATGTGAAATTTGACATTGTTTTTGCTAGATTAAAGCTTCAATATCCCATTTAATCTGTATTGTTGCAGTTCGTAAAGTTTCCTCCAAATGTCTGTCTGTCAGTCGTGTTCTTGTTTTTGATTTTAGGATTTTCATTTTATTAAAAAAATGCTGTTTACATATGTAGGTACTGCCAAAGATAGAAGACATGAAAGAGTGCATGTTTACGAATTCCTGGATACTTGTCTTCGGTCACGTACTTCGAATAAAAATAAATTAAAGTAGGATTTTCAAGAAACTTGCATTTTACTGCAGTCACACTGTAAATCTATAAATTCTAATTGAAGTTCAGGTGGAACACTTGACACATCTACTGAAAATGGCGAGGAGAACATTCTGATAAAAAATTCATTTTCGCGAAAATCGGAAAATCTGCTTTTGGATTCCTCTTTCAAATTTGAAATGCATTGTACATAATTATATGAATTTCATATTGTAGACATGACATACACTACACTCCATGAATTTTGGAAAGTGAGTGGAATTCTTATTTAGCAACTGACTTTCCCACAGGATTAATTTTGTCTCAAAAGCTTTCACAAAATAATAAAAATTATGAACAAGTAGATCTTTTCCCAGTAAGTGGTAGTTTAAATCTTTGAGATGACCTGTAATATTGCCAAGAAATGCAAAGTTTCTCAACCATTTCTCATCACTGAACTCATGAATAGATTTCTCTTTAGATTCCATGAATTGTTGAACTTCGCTTTTCAAAGAAAACAGGCGCGGAAGCATCTTTCCTCAGTTCAACCAATTGAAATTGTCTGCTATTAAGTCCTTTAGACCAGATAAAACTAACCACTTTTGAAACAACATTCATCACATGTTCAAAGTTTGAGAAGGAGTTCTTGCACAAATTTTCTTGGTGGATGATGCAGTGAAAAGTCATCATAGTATTATTTCCACTTGCCTTCACATCAGATTGGAATAATTTTGTTACTCCTATTTTCTCTTCAGACATAGATTTAGCACTACCTGTGGTTACAGCAGATATATTACTGAAATCTAACTCACATTTATCCAAAGTTTGTGTCAGACTCGAATACAAATTTATTTCTCGTGTTATACCTTTAAGTGCAACGACATTGGCTAATTCCTCTACAATTGTCTCTATCAATGCCATGCATAAAAATGGCTACTTGTGCAGTATCTGTTGATTCATCCATCGCTACAGAATAAAACTCAAATTGATTGCCTTTGGATTTTAATTTACTGAATATATCTGTTGCAACATCCTCTATATGCCTAGCTACTGTCACACCAGACAAGCTAATATTCGATATGACTTGGACCTCTGATGGACAAAGCACATCAACTGCATTCTGAAGACATTTTTCTGCAAATTCTCTATAAACAAAAGGTATTCCAGGCTTAGCAATTTTTTCTGCTATCATGTAACTAACGCGAACACTATTTTCTGATTCTTCATTTGCTGTGATGCAGAAAGTCTGCTGAAAATTTAGTTTTGATTTTAATTCACTCACCTACCAATGCAAATGACCTTCCAATGCAGAATATTTCTCACTATGCTTAGTATCATAATGTCTTTTAATGTTGCATTCCTTCATCACATCTACATTGTCATTGCAAATAAAGCAAACTGCTTAAATTTGTCATTTTCAGACAATTTTATCACAAATAATATCAGGTATGTCAATAAAATGTTTTAAATATCAAGAATAAGAGGGAAAAATTTCTGTTTTCGACAAAAAGCTGACACAGCAATTTTTCTTGAAATCAAATTTCTTAAGATTCTTCAAATTCAAATGCAGGGCCATTAAAATGCCTTCAGCGGGTCACAAGTGTTGAAGACCACTAATGTAAGGGCTTACAGAGGAGTGAAATGAATATACAAGGATTTTCGAAGAAAAGTAGTTGTAGGCTTTATGTACTTCAGTATTAATTCTTTCATGTATTCTTCCGAAAAAAGTTGGTAAGGAATTAATATTTTGCAAATTCCCATTTATATGTAAATATACCTAAATCATAATGATTTTTGTATAATTTTTTCTGTATAACATCAGCTAATTTCAAATCTGTTTTGGCTATTTTGCCTAATTTGAAGAAGACACGTTGCTGAAGATTGACAGCATCGTGATATTAAAAAAATGTGATAATGGATTTATTAGTAGTGTAAAGCAGCGAATTTCACCCTGTTAAGCTAATTTTACAACATACTGAATTCTTGTTAGGTGCCCTCTTTTCCCCCTCCCTGTATAAATATAAAATGAGTATTTGGGGGAAATAAAAGTCTGTAAGTACCATTTCTGATCTATCTTTAGTTCACTTAGATTTATCTGTTTTAATCCATAAATTTAGTCTAATGTTGACACACATTTGAAAAGTTAAATAACATTTTTTATTAAGTGATCAAGTAGTAAAATTATTTTAAAATTGAAGTAGCTTTGTTTTTAATACTTTTTCTCTCTTTAAGTCTTATTTTCCTTTGCTAATAAGAATGAATCCAATTAATAGTCATTACTTGTATAAGCAAGCTATAGTTCTTGTCTCATAATGTATGTGTATTAATAAATTGGCTATAACATTATTGCCTTAAAGGAAGTTTTGGTCTAAAGTTTCTTTGCAGCAATACAGTATTCACAATAAATGTTCAAAAAGGGGAACACTAACAGTAATAGGAACTACAGCTGTGATTGGCTGGCAATGCAGCGGTAGAGGGCAGTAGTGAGCCAGACAAACCATGATCCGATGCATCAGAGGATCATTGCATCGTCATTCGCAACTCTGATGTCGAGCGTGATGGGTGAGTTTACACACACAGGGAAAAAACTGACATGCATCTCCTGTATGGTGCTGCTTAATGGGAATGGCAGAGCAGCGCTACAGTTGTACCAGGCATGGTTTCCAAGCAGGCGTATGCCGAAACACACAATGTTCGAGAGGTTGCATCAGTCTCTGTGTGAAAACAGGTCATTTGAAGCCACCTCTGACACTGGGAGTGGAAGAAGGAGTGCACAACAACCTCGCATTGAAGAAACCACTCTCTTGAACATTATGCATAAATCACCTCAAACAAGTACAAGAGCTATTGCACATCGTCTGCAGCTGAGTCATTCCACCGTTTGGAGAGTATTGCATGAAAATGGTTTGCACCCATACCATTTGCAGAGAGTCCAACCCTTGCAAGAGACATATTACCCTCTTTGAGTTCATTTCTGTCATTGGTTCTTGCAGCAGTGTGTGGCACAGGCGGATTTCCATTTGGATGTGCTATTCGCGGACGAGGCACCTTTCTCACAGGACGGCATCTTCCATAACCACAACAGTTCACGTGTGGGCAACTCATAATCCACATGGCACACTCCACATGCATTCCAAACCCGCTTCTCCGTGAATGTGTGGCCGGGTATTGTTAACGACTACTTCATAGGCCCATACCTCTTACCTGCACGTACAAATGGCTTTTGTTATCATATTTTTCTGAAAGAGATGGTACCAGAATTGTTGCAGGATGTTCCGGCTGTCGTTCATGATCACGTGGTTCCAGCATGATGGTGCACCAGCCCATTACCACCTGCAGGTTCACAATTACTTGGATGGGACATTTTCAGGTCGATGTATTGGCCGTCGTGGACCCGTTCGATGGCCACCCCATTCACCAGATTTATCCAGCTTGGAATTTTTTATGGGGCCATCTGAAGAGCATCATTTACGAGACTCCTTATGACTCACTGGAGGACCTGTTGCACGACTATCCATTGTGGCTGCAAGTGGGAGCAAAATGCCTGTCATTTTTCAAAATGTTCGTCAATCCCTTCTGCAATGTTAGCAAGCATGTATTACTGCTGGTGGTCGCAATTTTGAACATTTATTGTGAATACTGTATTGCTACAATGCGTTGATTTTGTACATAACATATTTTCCTGATTTTAGACCCTACATTCCTATAAAAAAAATGCATGTTTTAGTATGCTGCACCACCCCTCCAAGTTTGTCCCATAATCTGTGAAACACCCTGTATATGAATATGTAAGTTCATGCAAATCAAAATTCTCACTTTAATTTGCAATAGTCCGTAGGCCTTCTTTTTGTTTTAATTTGGTTGCTTCCCCTTTCTTTCCTAAAAGAGAAACTGCTGATAATAAATTACTCTAAAATGCATCATTTCAAAATTGATCCTTCTGACATGGCATCTTACTTAAAACTTATGGTGCGTATATTTACATAATGCTTCAGCTGGGGAGGGGGGGGATAACTGAAAGGTTTCAGATTTTAAATTATGTTCAAAGGGGCATTTTTTTTAAACATTTTGTGTGTTACCTTTATTTATTAAATATCATGTTCTTCGTACTTAAACCATAATGTTCACTTCAAGAGCAATATCGCAAAATAATTTTAAAATGAGCATATCTTCAGAATTTCCGATACACAGTCTCACACGCTGCAGATAAAAATGTTTTTTCTGTACAACATTGCCATTGCTTCCAAAAAATGCCCCTTTGAAATTCTTGAGTTTGTCAATCAAAAATTCTTTAAAGTTTTACAAAATATGAAATTGATAATAAAACAAATTTCAAATTTGGGTTTCTGGATGGCCATATTTGCAGCAGGATTGCGTTATTGAAAATCTGATGGCTCTAGGTACTGTTGTTTTTATCACATTGCAAGAAACATACATACATTTTTACAGATCTTCATTATTTAATTTCTTTAAATATAATACAGGGTGATGATATTTGATGGGAACAATTTGAAAAGTGAAACAACGCAAAATGCCAAAACGAAATTAATAGTCCTTATGGGCAAATTGCCTCTTTTTGACTTTAAAAAAAGGGGGCACATTTCTATATCTCCCTGTCTACTGGACCAATTGGCGAACTTTGGATTGTGTTTTTCATGTCTCGAAAGCACGATTTAGGTTATATGTTAGATTTATATATAGCACTGTTCTAATATAAGTATTTTGGCACAAAATCGAACTTTTCTGAAATAGAGTACCAATTTTTTTCCACGTTTCGATTCCACAACTCAAATTATGCCTAGATGTTAAATTTGTAATTTTTGGTGAGGAATTAAAAAATTTATCTTGGCGCATTTTTTGTTCAGTTTGTGCCAAGAGTAATTAATTCACTTTGAAAACTTCTTAATTTATAGCAACCTATTCTCCTCTGCTTTTTTAACTGTACAGGTGTGGAAAAAATGTCACATCGTTCATACTTTCAAATAATTTTAACAAAGTGCGTAAACCACATTTGGCGTTATTATCGCTTGTGACAAATATGCCAAATTTCAAAATACACCAAGACATAAATTCATGTACAGTCAAAAGTCTTTAATCCGGACTCGTCGGTACTTCATGGATTCCGGATTATAGATCATCAGTGTAAATCTGGTAAGATGGCATGCAGAAATTATAAAAATAAAAATGTGAAACCGTAATTTATGAAATAAAGAACAATTATGATCTAAAGGGTATCAAAATTTACAAAAAAAAAAAAAAAGAAAAGAAAAAGAAAAAAAAAAAAACTTACTTATTGTTTACTTTTTTTAAACATTTTCTTTCATGTGCACATGTTTAAAGCATACATTACGCATAGTCGAAATTAGAAAATTGCAACCAGAAAACTATTGAGTGTATTCGTGATATTTATAATGATGAGGAATTTGATTGAAATCATATCAAAGATGGAGTACATCAAGATGAAATACTGCATTTAGTAAGAAATTATATGCCAAATAAAATAAAAAATCTGTCCTGAAGATCAGGATAGTGCTGACAGATCAACTTCCAGTTCATTGCGCACCGAGTCATCTCCCCACAGAAATTGATAAACATATTTCGGAATGATTGGAGAATCGAAGAATATGCCTTTATCCATTTTTTGCAGCAATTCCTTTTTGTTTGATGGACATCGGACATGCTTTCGCTTTGTAGATCCTTTGGTAGCTCCAGAATCGGAAATTCTTTTTGACATTATCGAAAGTTCGAGCTTACTTTTATAAAATTGCTCTAACAGTATGCAAAAAATAATAAGCCGGATTCAATTAAAAGATTAAGGAACATCACATTCTGCAACATTAACTAAAATAGATAATTAGGCAATTTTAGCTTAGCTTATACCGTACGTTATACATGAAACGCGCATACGTAAACGTATTATGCGCATGCGTAAAGGTATTATGCACATGCCTTAACGCATTATGCGTTGACTCATGCGCAGAAAGTTTGTAGCTTTGAGGTCCGGATTATAAATCATTCCCCATTATGGATGTCCGGATTAAAGACTTTGCATCTACTTTAAGATGATGGTAAAAATTTTATAGGCCGTAATTCAAAGTTTTTTTCAAAAAATTTATTCAAATTATTTAAAAATACAAATTTAAAAATTAAATCATAAAAAATGGGTGAATTTTATTTGGAATGAACCTAAATCTCGAAATGGGAAGGGAAGAATAAAAAAAAGTTTAATAAAAAAAAGAGATATTAATAAATATATACCAAATTCAATTAGCATGGAGGAGCTAAAATTTTGAGAGCTAATTTTTTTTTTTAAAACTTGGCAGTTATGCATAATTTCTGTCATAGAATCGAAATATGGAAAAAAAATCGGCATGTCATTTTTTAAAAAAGCCTGATTTTGTGTCATACCTATATTAAAACAATGCTATATGTAAATCTAATACATATCCTAAGTCGCACTTTCGAGACATGAAAAATGCAAATTAAGTTTCAACAATTGGCCCAGTAGAATGGGAGATATAGAGCTGTCCCCCCTTTTTTTTGCTGCATAGTGTACCTGTTGTTTACTGATATGCCCACAGATGGAAAATTTTACTTCCACATTTTCTTAAACTGCAACATGTGAAACACCAGTATCTTTTGGGTGTGCAAGCTTAATTAAAATTTTTGAAAGTTAAAAACTGATATTTATAGATATTTCATAATTAAACTTGGATCTTCCATGTTAAAATGCTAAAGAAAATAACAAATTTTAATTTAAATAAATATTTTTAATGTGTAGCAGAAAATAGTATAAATAATTTGCTTTATGTTTTAATGTTATATAATTTAGTTTTAAAAATATATACAATTGATAACAAAAATATACAATTGATTGTAAAATAATGCGTTTAATAAATATGTTGATTTAGATTGTTAAACATCATTTAAAAGTTATAATTTCATAAGATACAAATCTTTCTAAGTTAAGTTCTTAGAGAATTAGAATTTTAGTTTTGGTTTTTTATGTTTTAGTATTTTATAGAATTTAGCTGTTTCTTTCTGTATTTCTTTCATATTTTGTAGTAAATTATTATTTTTTATAAGGCTGCTCGACACATAACCCAGATATCGTCTTTGAAAGCCAGTAACTTAAAACTTACTCAAGCAATTAATGATGCCTTAGAAAATCAGCATAAAGCACAGTCAAATATTGAAGATCTGTGTAATGAACTTGAAAGTGAAAAGGTAAACTGAAGGTTTTGTTTTTGTAACATAAGTTATTTGTAATGTATTAAAGTTTATATGCCTGAATATTTTCTCTTTAAAAATTTTAAATTATTTCTGTAATATGTTAAGTTTTTGATTTATTGCAGGTCAATCATGCACACGAAAAAGTGAAGCTTAAAGAAACCATATCTCAACAAGCAAAATTAATTGACTTTCTCCAATCAAAGACAGAAAATATGGAAAAGAGGAAAAGGGTAAACAGTTTATGGGTGTCATTCTAATGTTTAATTGCAATAATTTTAGTTAATCATAAATAACTTTGATGCAAATTGCAATATGATTTTGTGAATACAGTACAAAGTCCGAAATCCGGACGTCCATTATCCGGAATGATCTAAAATCCAGACATCAAAGCCACAAACGTTTTTTCGGGTGTGTTTTACGTATGCGCATTTGATTTTTCCTTCCATAATAAAACGTGGAGATTTTCACTTAAAAATTTCGATTCTTAATTTCACTTAGGCACTAAATAAAATACATTGTTATGAAAAAACAATCATGTAAGCATAAATTTGTGAGATTAATAATTTGGCTCCGCAGCTGAGTGACTGCTTAGCATTACATCTCAAACCGAAACATTCACCTATTTTATATCCCTGACACCAACCTGAAAAGTCATTATTTATTATATTTTGCTTTCAACACTGCATGTTTATCAATACATGACAGCTTCAGTAACAACTCCTTCAGTGATATGTAAATTTTTTTTTATATTAGTAATTGAATAACAAGAGCAAGGCAACCTTTTCTGCTAACATTACGTTTGACGATGATTATAGATTTTTTTAAATGCCCTAAGAAATGTTAACAAGGAAAAATTCAATAAAAATTTCTTTTTATATGCTAAAAATAGATTTTGTTAATGAAACTCATAGTTCAAAAGATTACATTTAGTGCTATTTGAATTAAGAATAACTGCTATGTTATTCACCATAAACCCAGAAGTGGGAAGAGTTTAGGGAAGACACTGGAGGGGAGAATTTAGAGAAGACACAATTTTTGGAATTTGCGGAAGCACAAAGCGGCAAAATTAAAAGATGAGAAGTTTTTTATAATTTAGGGATCCAAAGTTTAGGCGCGGCGAAAATTTAGAACTTAGGAAGGCGCTTTGTAGCAGAATTTAGAGACTGCACCAGGCAGTATCTAGTGTCGGCCCTAGATAAAAGTATGTATATACTTAAGTATATGTGGGAGTTTATTTATTCAGGACTCAGATTAGTTTTAAGCATGTGTAAGAAATAAACGTAGGTATAGTAAATAACTAACACAATTCAAGCTTAATTCAGTATGCAATAAGAGCAAGACAAAATTTAGCAGAACACCTTGGCTTTCGTCACCAATCTTGTTATACACAGCCAATAATGTATAATGGATGCTATTAAGCTAGGCTAAAATTATCTTAACTGATTCTAAGGCATTTCACTCATTCAGGATCCATCATTTCCATGCACATTGTGGAATTATCTCATTTTTACTGGGAAGTACTGCAAAATGAGTAGAACCCCTGTATAATTACTTGTGTATCAAACTATAAAGAATTTCAGTTAATGCAGGAGACTGTGCTGCTCCTTAATCTTCTAATTTGATCCAGCTTATTATTTTTTGCAGACTGTTGGTATTACAGCAATTTTATAAAAATTAAGCTTGAACTTTCGATTATATTGAAAAGAGTTTCCAGTTCTGGAGCTGCAAAAGGATCTACAAAGCCAAACCATGTTTCGATGTCCATAAACTCTTTCGCATCGAAGTTGCCCGTAGCGCCCGTTCATTCAGGCAACGGCAAACCGCCCCAACGCCTCGTTTATTTTCTACCTAGTTCTTTCCCCTCCACGTTAGTGTATGGCTCATTGGTTTCGCGAGTTGTTAAAAGATATGTCAATCATTCTTTTGAAGCAAATAAAGGAGAAATACGGAAAGCTATTGACGTTCGCAGGTGCAATCCAGCCCTAAGGTGAAACTGCACACAATGGATAAATGGATGAAACTGCAGAAGGGGGAAAGGAAAACTATTCCAAGGCAAATTCGTAAACACGGGCGTTTCCGATGTTTGTTGAAAACAGATTTGGTCGTCTCTCGATGCAAAAGAGTTAAACAAAAAGTGCAATTGCTGCAAAAAATGGATAAAGGCATATCCGTCTCAAAATTATGCGAAGGGTATGGCATTGGAAAGTCAACTGTATATGACAAAAGAAAAACCAACTTTTTGAATTTTTTATGGTAGCAACTTAAACAACTTGCATTGAAAAACTCTTTAATAAAGCAAACAAATAAATATTAAGCTTTTTTTTGGGGGGGGTAGGTTTTGATACCCTTTAGAATATAATTGTTCTTTATTTCATAAATTACGATTTCATATTTTAAATCTTATAATTTCTGCATGCCATCTTACCAGATTTAAATTGAAGATCTATTATCCGGAATCGAAGTCCTGAGGAGTCCGGATTTCGGACTTTGGACTGTAGTGTTTCAGATATCCGTGTGTGAAATGGACCTTTAATGTAATTTATATTTTATGTATGCAGTTACTTATATTTCATTTCCTTAATGTGAACTATTAGAAACTTATAAAAGTATATTGCTAAATATATAAAATGCTTTTGTGGGATATTTTTGTTTATTTTCACTAAGTTTGTAGGTTGGGTGGCTTGAATTCGATCATGTACATTGAATGTTTTTAATTATTAATTTTAACATTTAAATACTAACCATAGCTGATTGCATTTTGTACTTTTTTTAATATTCTACTGTGTTTACTTATAATGTGTGCCCATGAAATAACTGGACAATTTCTTATAAAATAAGCAAAAGATTTCTAATCTTCAGATAAATTTATCTCTCTCAAAATAAATACCAGAGGAGTCTACAATTTTTTCAACCTTTTTTCAGTTCATCAAAGCACTGTTTAAGGTGTCCGAACTAACCATTTCAAAATACATGTAACGTTTGATTTAACAGCTGAGGTGTTTTCAAATCTCTCTCCTTTCATGGCCATGTTATGTTTCAGAAAAGGAAAAAATCAGCTGGTGATAAGTCGAGAAAATATGGTGTGTGATTGAGCTTTGCAACTGAATGCTTATGAAATATTCTGGTACAGACTGTGCTGTATGGAGCTTGACATTGTCTTGTAAAAGAAACTATTGCCCGCAATAAAAAATGTTCCTTCCTAACTCGCCTTATCCTGTTTCTTAATTGAAAAGGCATACCCTTGTAAAAATACTGATTAGTGATTTTTGAGGGCAAATGTGCAGTGAATAAGTCCTTTGTAAAAAAGCTTCAAGTTCCAAAAAGAAAAAAGAAAATATTAGCAGCTGATAAACAATATTAGTAAAGATTTCATGCCAAATGGAATATGCTGTACAAATAAAGATGGTGTCCTCCTGAATGAAAAGAGTGAAATCGTAGCAAGATAGAGGAAATACTTAAAGGATTTGCTCCATGGTAAAGGCGATATAGACAATAGAATTATATTTCCTGTCTATTCTGATAAACAAGAACTTTACCAAGTCTTTTTAAGATTGAATCTGCAATCAAGAAACTTAATCGAAACAGTTCAGCAGGCCCTGATGGGATTAATGAGTTGTTGAAGGTTGACAAACCTGATCTGATTAAGGCTATACATGCTATTGTTTGCAGGGTTTGGACATCGGAAAAGCTGCCCATTGAATGGGATATGGGCTTTATCTGTCCCATCTTTAAAAAAGGTGATAGACAAGGCTGTTGCAACTACTGCAAAATTACTCTCTTGAGTACCATATTTAAAATTTTTTCAAATGTTCCTTACAAGAGGTTATTACCACATGTTGAAAGTCATTGGATGGTACCACTGTGGATTTCTTAAGGGAAGGTCAAGTACTGATCAAATTTATGCCCTGAATGCAGATTTTGGGAAAATAAGAGAGTACAATGTTAGCATCTGCTATCCTTTTGTTGACTTTAAAGCTGCGTATGACAGCATTATTCAGCAGAAGCTATACGAGGTAATGGAGGAATTTGAAATACCGGCTAAGTTAATTAATCTAACAAAAGCTACATTTAAAAGGGTAAAATGTAGAGTTAAACTTGGGAATGATTTATCTGAAGTTTTTTATACTGACAGAAGTCTGTGGCAGGGTGATACTCTGTCCTGTTTACTATTTAACCTGTCCCTTGAGAAGGCTATCAGAGCTTCTGGTCTTATGAATAGAGGAATCATTTACCATAAGACAATACAAAATCTTATTGTTCACCGATGACATTACTTTAGTGGGTAGATCCAGAAAGTATGTCGCAGAATCATTCAATCTATTAGGAGCTGAGGCAAGAAAATCAGGCCTAACCATAAATGAAGATAAAACAAAATTTTTACAAGTTGCCCATAAGTCAACTAATCCATCGTCACTAACAGTGAACTACTACGCTTTTGAAAATGTGGCTCAATTCAAATATCTTGGAACTATTGTCACTAATAATGATTTATTTATGGAAATTAATAGCAGGCTTCTCATCACAAATAGATGCTACCATAGTCTTAAAAACTAGTTCAAACCTTGATTTATCTGCCGTAATACTAAAATTAATATAAACCCTGTTACATCCCATCATACTATACGGCTGCAAGTGCTGGGCAATGACTAAAATAATTGAAAGTAAACTACTGATCTTTAAATGTAAAATACTAAGAAAAATATTGAAAATGGTCAATGTATAATAATGAAATTTACCAAAAATTTAGACAGCCTGATATTGTCAAGGTCATAAAAAGCCATAGGATTTGATGCTTGGGTCATTTATACAGAACTGAAGACACAAACCTAGTAAAACAACTCACACTTTCCAAACCTATGGAAGCTAGAAAGCAAGGAAGGCCACCAATTAGGTGGCTTGATGCTTTTTAGTAGGGATGCACAACTTGTGGCCCGTTGAGACCTTTCCAAACTTTTATTGTGATTTAACATATCAGATATCTGTAGAAGGAGTTGCGAGCAGAAAAAATTTCACCATTCTCCCCTTCATTACTCATTCTATTCTGTCCCCTCAAAGTGAGATTTGCCATTGAGTCAAGTTCCCGGCGTCAACCAAAGGCTGTATCCACTGCCTGAACACAAAAATTGCTCCTAGCCTGTAGGACCAACACCTGTAAAAGATTGAGAAAGCGTCTGTGGTATGACATAGCACGAGTGTGTTTGCACGCATGTGCTAGTAAAGTGGAAGAGAA